TATAAATAGTCATTGTGTTACATAAGCCCATTCCGTTTCAATTGCTCGCTTTGCAGATTCATCAAAATGTCATGCATTTGTTTCTTCGCTTTGAGTTGCAAGTCGGGGTCCAGTTTTACAATTTCTTCACCCATGTATATCCCAAAACTGTTTGCCTTTTCGTCAGTGTTATTTGTTTTTGATGCAACATGAAAGGCATTTGTTAAATTTTGTGATGCTTCGATTAAAGCAGAGGCGTTTTCATCCAAATCATTATTAATTTTTGTTCTTCGTTTTCTTGTTGCATGGACCAACTTTCTAGTGCTATTGTTGTTATTGTCATCAAACCGACCACAGTTTTGCGAAGTAACCAGAGGTGGAGTTACAATCTCATCCGATATGATTTTAATTGGTGTTGAATCACTATTAGTGTCTTCTGTAGAGATGTAGCCTGGATCGAAACATTCTGCAGGCTGCAGTTGCTCCCCAAGCTTACGCGATGGATTGGGATCAGGGTCCAGGTTCTACAAGAGAATGAAAATATTAAGCAAATTTTACGTAGCACGCGAATCGACGCTTTGCCCGGTTTCACACAATAAAAGTCGTACCTGCAAACTCCACTTATTAAAATTATTCACTGATGGTGTATGCTCATTCACATGTTGTAGGAATTTCAAAGCTTCATAGAACTTCCAGCTGGTCTGTACGTTTTCGTCTCCGCCGGCACCGCTTCTCTTTGCCTTGTCCATCCTCTGCTTCTCTGAACTGAAATATGACTTGATGTTGCACCACTTGTGCGTAACTTCATCTTTAAATACATATATTTATTATACAAACATATAATATATCTTTTAGTTATTACACGTGAACTTGCTAAAAACTTACCGTATTGAAATGGTACATTTGCTGTGAACATTGAGTTCATTTCATCCACCAAAGCGAGCCAAAACTGCTGCTTTTTATATTTGTGCTTATATGATGGTAGCATATGATTCCATATATATTCTGCACCGTGGACTTTGTCAATTAAATGGAATACGTAGTTGTCTTGCCACTTTAATTTCATTTTTATTGTTACAAAACTGTTTTACATCAATTTTAATTTCGTTTATTTGAATTTCGGTAATGAAACGTCAAAACTCAGCTGTTCTTCACACAGAATTTGTCTTTCTCTAACACATTGCCGAATAGTTATTGTAATTTGACTTTCGACAGTTTTTTTGTTTGTATTTCAAATGAAAAATACAGGAAAAAAACATAGTATCATACGGGCATAAGATAAATGTTTCAAATTTCCTACTACTAGCTTATTAATAAACTCGGTTTGCATTATGCACTTTTTTGCAAATTTCGACGTGGGTTCTGCGCAAAAATATTGTGGATGGCGTAGCCGGAGTGATATGCACAAGAAGTGTTGTATACCTTTGACATGCTGAAGCCCTTCTTCTCCTGCAACACAGAAAGGAGAATTCTACTTAGTAAGGGTTATAATCCCTAAGCGCGGCCGAAGGCAGAAGCAAGTGCACCAGGTGGTGGACCTAACAAAGTGCATGTCTTCAATGGCTTGGAAGAAGCTGTTATTGCATTAACTGGATTGAGTATCAGAGCTTACGAAAATTCGGGTTCTAGAATAAGGATGTAAATCTGAAGACACCACCCTCCGGAGGCTTATAGTTTTTAAGTAATTCGCATTTAAAGTTGCAAAAAATACCGAATTCAACCTTACTTTTTCCCTTGTACACCAACTGAACTGAAATGTCGGTGCTGGTATACATACCAAAAAATGCAAACAAAAAAACACAAAACGTAAACAATTAAAAAATGCACATAATTTGGCGCGATATTTTATTAAAAATTTTAATTATTTATAGCGCGATTTATCGAAGTATCGATGTTATAATAAGAAGCGCCGTAGGGGAAAATGTTTAATAAAAAATCATGCGATTTTTAAATAAAACTTTTCATTATTTATCGAAGTAGCGATTTAAAAATAAAAGGCGCCGCAGAGGAAAATTTTTTATTAAAAATCGCGCGATTTTTGGAATTTTTGGTTTAAATTTATTTTTTTCCTTTTCAGTAGGGTTTTTTTGCACATTATCTTCTCCGTGAGAATTGATCGTAATAGATACGGATCTGAATAAGTGACTGGAACTCGGCTGTTTGTCAAAAACATAAGATTTCGAACTCGCGTAAATGTACATTTGCTAAATGCGATAGCATGAACGCTCTTCGAGAACATATGTTCGAAATTGCTAAATGTTGCATTTTAAATGCAGCAAAAACGCTGCATTAGTCGATCCAAGGTTCAAGAAAAATGCTTTGACGGATGAAGAAGTTTTTCAGAGGGGAGATTCTGTAACCAGTTAGGGACAAGTTTCGAATCGATATCGTACTTGTTGACGTAAAATTATTTCATATCATATGTCAACAAAACCGATACCGATTCGAAAATTGTCGCCAACTGGTTACAGAATCTGCCCCCACGCCTACAAAAATGATATCGTCCGATTCAACTGGAACAAAAATGCTTCAAACAAGTAAGGCTTTCTGCACATTGGTCGTCCAATCATAGTTGCTTCATCGTCACAATCATGATGCAACGATTACATGACGACTACACTTTCGCACACGCGGTCGTGATATTTCAATTCATTTGGCGTCTAAAAATTCACTTGGAGCAGGTGTTTTCTGTTTTTCTGGTTGATATTTTCGCGAAATATTTACAAAAAACCTGCAATTTTTAAAATATGGACTGTGCTGCAACAATTCTAGACATCATTTTTCAGTAATATCTCCTCTTTTCTTTTCTTGAAATGTGTTTTGTGCATGCACACAGAGGCTTTTTACAATTTCGTCATATTTTATAGTTAAAACGCTCACATTTATTGAATTTTAATGCAATTATCCACTTTTTATTAATTTCCACAGATTTTAAGCAAAAAATACTAATTTTTATACCATTTTAATGCAAATATTAACTCTTTCACTAATTTTTCCCCATAAAATGTAAACAAACAATGCGTGCACAACGATTAGCAAGCGACAGTGCCGTACTTATCCGTTTCTGCATCTTCTACGATATGCCGATAACTAGCCGATAACGACAAGTGTGCAGATCTCCTTTGAAATGCATGTGCTCGGCTCAGGGCGAGACGATAACGCAACTATGATTGGACGACAAGTGTGCAGATAGCCTAAAAGTTACTCTGTGTTATGGCCTCAAACCGACATCTTTCATTCGGGTTTTTTTAGGCGAGTCTCCCCTGAACCGTTCTTTTTGGCCTATGTACGCTTTTATTCCAAACCTAAATGTTTCGGTACCCAGTATCGAGACCATTGGTTCTTTTTAAATCGGTACCGAACATCGATCAATACTTAAAAGTATTAACTCAGCACATCACTACTGCTGTCAACTCGACTGTGACGTCAGCAAGACAGCTGATTCTGTCAAATTCACTGAGAGCCGATTAGCGGTATTGCCATCGGCGCCACCTTCTGTATTCTCTCCACCGTGGATACCACATCAACTTCTGTACTCACATTAAATAAATTTTGGCTATGAAAATAATCTCTTCGAGCAGCGCGAGACAAAACTATGTTGTAGAAAAGTTGAATTACTTCCTCCCAGTTCTCTGATCTGATGTTTAAAAATAAATATTTTCCGTTTATCTGGCGAAATCAACTACAGTTGTGTTACTTTGATCACCGTTTTGTATCATTTGTATGCCCCTTCACAAAGGAGGGGAGGTATTGGACCAGTTGCCCGCAAAAGAAAATG